ACAAAAGAATCAATTAAAGACAAGCCTTGCTTATAATAAAATGTGGTTAACTCAAGCCAGTCAGCATCAAGTGTGCTGATGACGGATCCTTTTCTTGTTACTTTCATTGACAGGATGCCTTCCTGATAGGTCCAGCAGGTTGAATCATCATCAAAAGCATTGAAGACTATATACAATTTGTTATCTGAGGATAGGCATTGAGAAGGAGAAAAAAAGGGGAAAATTATAATTCTATTGATCAAAGATTCTTAAAATCTTTTTTTATTAATCAAGATATTTCAGGCTTACAAATGAGTATAGAGAATTAATGAAAGTACCCACCACTCAGCTTAACCAAATGTCAACATTATGCGATATTTGTTTCAGACTACTCTTTCAAAGAAATGAGAAATGAATATAGTTGAGGCTACTCTGTAGTATTCCCTAATTCCATTCTCCAGAAATAACTACTATAATGAATTTGGTGTTTGTCATTCTCATGAAAGCTTTTATTCTTTTAATATACATTTATATACCCATAAATGACATGTAACCATTTTACATATCATTTAGGTAACAGTTTAAAAACTTTATTTAAATGGTATCATACTGTATATATCAATATATAAATTGATTTTTTGTTCAACATTGTGCCTTTAAAATGTAAATAACCATACAGATCTCATTCACTTACTTTAACTGCTACATAGTATTCGAGTTTACTATTCTCCTTTTGATGGACATATATGTTATTTCCAATTTGTTGTTATTAGAAACATTTTTCATGTCTCCTTAGACACATATGAGTGACTCTAGAATACATACGTAAGACATGGAAATGCTGGGCCATAGCTTCTGCTTTACCAGAAACTGGCAAATTCTTAACCTGGGGTCTATGGACCCACACCCGTGGTTGTATTTTAGGAAGTTTAACATCACCTGTGTTACAGACAGAAGCATTTGGATTCTATGGATTTCACCAGATACTCCAAGGGTTCTTTTGTGCACTACCACTAGCCCCCTTCCACCTCTCCCAATTAAGAACCACTGCCATAGAATAGTTATTGAGAAGTATATAATTTAAAAGTATTTAGAGAGCAGAATCTAAAGATTGATAATTCAATTGAGCAGTACATTGGATTTTGAACTTAAGGACTAGAAATAGACACTTGATTTGATTCAAGTTAGGGTGGGAACCAGCATAGAGTTTAAAGGTAGCAGTGGGTGG